ACCATAGTTGTAGAGATAGAAAAAAGAAATTCCAAACCTATAATGTTGGCTGAATCACTGTGGGCTGCCATCGTCCTTTCCTTGGTTGCAGCAACTTCCTGGGTAGGAATTATCTTCGCACAAGCCTCAGCTTTTGCCTTCCTCCAGTCAATCTGAGCAGCAATTTCCACCTTCTATTCAACTTTCTTTACGTCAAAGGCAACCGACAATTCCATCGTTATTCATCTGAACACCCCATAAAACAAAACTCTGTTGATGATCACCATATCCATGTACTGAGAACTAACTGGAGCTGTCCGTCGATCTCAACTCACTCAATCTGGGAAAAGTTTGTCCCCTTATTTATGTTGCAAGTGTTCTCAGTCAGAACAGTCTTGATACTCCATTTTGCAGAGGACGAGGTGATGAATAACTTGAACTTCCGATCATTCACTTTATTTTTGAAGCCAGTGAACTGGAACTGACCAAACTGTACATACCCTTTAGCCTTCACCTGAAAAGAAAACATGTGGCTAGACAAGTCAGTTAGCAATGGAATCCCTCTTCATCGATAGAAGACCATGTAAGACATAACCATCATAATAGAATTTTGGCTTATTATGTGTCGAAATTACTCCATGCGGGTTAAAGATCGCCTGAAGTTCCTGACAAAGAGGCAGCCACAACCTACGCCTCAATTTATATATATAAGTGAATAAGTTGACACCAAATTGATCAGTGGCTCACTCATTCAGGTGAGATACCCGAATTCTAATTTTTGAATCGAAAATAAAAGCCTTCTCCAAGAAGGACACCTCTGACGGGGATAGGATTGATCACTCGGACGCAGCTACCAAATTTTGTTTTTAAAGTTGTAGTGTTACTTGAGGACAAGTCACGTCTAAGTTTGGGGGATTTTGATGTCTTTTAGCATGATTAATTTTCTTTACATTTAGCACTTATTTTTTAATGAAATCACATTTTAAAGAAAGGTATTTTCATGTTTTTCTTGCTGGTATAGTTGAAATGGAGCGAAGCTGAGGCAAAACAAAAAAAAAGGGTAAACCAACAAAATAGAGCCTAGGCGCATGCCAGAACATCCCAGGAACTAGAGAACATGGAGCCTAGGCGCCACTAGGCGCCATTATCCTCCCAAAAAATAGAGAAGACTAGCGTCTAGGCGCTATAACTGTCCAGGGACGATTTTTGCATGCCACAGGGAGTTATTTGACTGATCCAGACGTTTGGAAAAATACTTTTTGACATTTTTAAGTCCTGGAATTCTCCACGAAGGTCAAGAGGTCATAGGTAGGAGTAGAAAATATAGATTTTAACCTTTTTCTCTAGAGATTGGATAGGGGATTTTGAGAGAAAATTATAAGGGAATTGTATCAGCATTGCAAGGAATAATATGAGGCTTTGTTGGAAGAACTTGCATTTCATTTTCAGAGGGCAGAAGCTAAGTATATTGTTATCTAATGTCTTGTACTTGTTGTAAACATATATTTAGTGGATTTTTTTGTGTTAAGATGATGTCTTCTATGGTGTTCCACATTATTTGTGAGTTGATTTCCTTTACTCTTCTCTTGTGTTGAATAAGTAAGATTTGTAGAATGTGTAAGATACTCTTAGAATTGATTTTCAAAATTTAATGTGACTATTTTCTTTCTGTGCTTCATTTACTTTTTTTACTTGTCATATGGACTATTAAATTATATGTTCACTATAAAGACTTGGGAGAGCTATGACATGAACGACTAGGAAGAACCACATTGCACTATATGGTGAAGGAAAAGTAGTCCATATGACAGTGCAAATAGATTGGGAAATAGGCTTTTATGGGTGTAAATTACGGACTCTAGGGTGACAGGCTAGAATTCTAACCAATTTACTTTAGGGTTTAATAAATTAAAACTAGGTTTGCCAAATTGAGGTTATAAATTGGAAACTTGAGGGAACATGCTAGAATCGTAACCAATGTAATCTAGGGTTTAAGGAATTAATACTAGGTTAACCAAACTTCTTTATGAACTCGATAGAGGGTAAAGAAGAGGAATGCTCCTTTTTGTCACTAGCCATAATAATAATTCAAAGTACTAGGTCCTACAGTCTACTTTTGTAATCACAAGAGAAACATAGTTTTTACCTCTTGAAATTTATCAAACTAATTTGTCTAGTTAGGTTCAACTTTAGACTTAGTGTTGTATTTAGGAGTAGTTTTTAGAAAAACCATCTTAATTGACATTCCAAACTAAGACCTAAACGTAGTAGATTAGAACATAGCATAAGGAATTTCTTACCTCACTTTTATGTGGGATCGATAATCCAGACTCATTTGAGCCCTATGTTACTGAAACTATATGTACACTTGCGTGAGAAACTCAATGAGTAATAATACTTAATTTTAAGAACTGAATCAATTAACTAGGGATTAGATCAATTTTCTCGTGCCTTTACCCAGACCTATACAAATTGTGACCTCTTCTGAGACGGATCAGGAACTACGAGGACAAAGACTGCTAGACAACAGTTGGTGGCTAAGGAAATAGGGTTGTGGATGTGGGGAGAAGGTAGGAGGGATGAGCAGTCGCTGGAACAAAAAGACGGCTTGGGGGAGGTAGTCAAAACGACAATTAATTGATGTTTGGTGCTGCTGGACAGTAGAAAAACAACGAAGTGAAGAAGTTGTGTGTTGTGGCAGCGAAGATGGTGGGCTGAGACAGTGAGAGCATCATAAGATAATAGCGTGGGGGGTGGGGGTGTTGGAACTATAGGAAACAATAGATCATTGTTATTCCAGGCGGTGGCCGCAAGGGTGGCGATGGTAATGTCGTCAGACTGCAGTTGGAGAGGTGCGGGAATGACGTTGGAGGCTGCGGTGAAGACCGAAGAGGTGGGGTTTTGGTGAAGGAAGTAGGATAGCAGCAAGAGGATGGATGGAGAGATAAATATCTTTGTGCGACCAAACTACAGCTAGAATACCACCCGGTCCCATGAAGACGATCACACCTCAGACAATGGACAACCACGACACTTCCTTGACTTCGGTTACAACCCTCAAGAGGGAAAATATTTAGACAAAACTTAATTAAGTTCTCATAAAGCAACCCCTAACTCAAAGCACAAGCTCTTTTATTTATAAAGAGACATAATCTATCTTAGGAAACATTTAAAATAGAATTGAGAATAAAAATCAGATTTCAGATTTGAGGAAAGGATTTAAATTATGAAGGAGAATAAACATCATATTTCAATTTTTTAAAGGTTTTAAATTAGGAAGAGGAATAAATATCAGATTTCAATTTTAGCAATTAAATTAGAAAATACATAAGAAGGAGAGTAAGAAAAAAAAAGGAAAGGAAAGAAGAAGGAAGAAGGGAGAAAGGAAACAAGGGAAGAGGAAGGAGGGGGCGGTAGCCCCCTTCTTTGAGGACCTCTCCCGAGCCCCGCATCTAATGCCACATTTATAAGAGTCATAAACAAAAATCCAGGGAGTCTAATCATTATATTAAATTATGACTATTAAGATTCAATTTATTGCTTTAAAAATTTTATTGTTCTTAACGCAGAGGACACTATCAAGAAGCAAGAAATTTGAGGAACTTAATATGTACACCTAAAAATGGTCTGCATGAACATCGAGACAATATAACAATCCATGTTAAAAAAGATATGACAAAGGTCCCTCTGACGAAAAGCTTCAAAGCCTCATGAATCCGATCGATTGAAGACCACCCAGTCGATTGATATTCAATCGGCCGAAAGGCTACTGACCGATCGAAGGACGTACCACCAAAGGGCCACCCGGGCCAACAAGGGACAAACATCAATGCTGATTCATCTAAAGGAATCGACCGAACAAAATTCTAACACCCCCAACAATTTAACAAGTATCAACACAAAGCTCCCCTAATGATCACTAGAGATCATCAATGAATAATAATCAGGCATGCCAACCGACTGCCTGAAAGCTACTGGCAACTGCACTAAAAAATTGACTGACTTCTTATAGCGAGACCGATCAGTGTTCATATGAAGGTAGACCGAAACCAACTCATTTGGCTGACCTAGTGGCCTGTCATGCAAAAGGTCCATGGCGAGCAAAAAGGCAATGATACCCCAAACAACCCCTCTAGAGCAGGGATAAAATATATTATTTCACACTTTTGGTCTTCTATTACCCATAAATGGGGGGGATATCTTGTACCAAGGATTTTTGGGCTCTTCTCTTTGACCCTTCTTCTATTAGGAGAACTCTCTCATTCTCTCTTGTAACACCTACTTCCAACATATAGAATAAATTGCATAGTCTGAGAGTATCCCAGTTGTCCCAGAGAGACATATTGTTGCGTACTCTCATTATCTCTCTATTTCTTCCTCTCCATCACGATCCCCACAACTCTATCACTCTATTTCTTGCAAAAATTTTTCTGTGCGGACTCCTGACGTAAAACTCTATTTCGTGCAAAAATTTTTCTGTGCGGACTCCTGACGTACCTCTACGTGCGGCGCAGAGTATTCCTGAGGGGATTATTGAAAATAACCCAGAAATAACCTAAAAATAACTCAAGAATAATCTGCACCGCACGTAGAGGTAAGCGTCTATTTCTTGGGCATGCCTTACAAGACACACACTCACACAAACAAAT